AAGGGGTCAAATGATCGGCCTTTGTGAAATGGGCTCTTCAATATCGCCCGTTCGGGAGGTAATGCTACTGCAGTGATGAGAGGGTGTGTGCGAACTGACTTTAATACAAAAGGACAAATTTTAAAATGTGTAGTTGATACGAAAAATAAAGCCATTCCCGAATGAAAAACAACACATCCTCATGACAGTAACGGAATAAAAATAAAAACAGCCTTATCTAGAACGTTGGCCTCCACAGTTCGCCGGTGCTTGCTGTAAAGCAGAATTCTTTGTGATGATTCTTTTGAATATTTGATTATTTAACTGACCTGAACCCAAAGGCGCCCACATTTACAATGAGCTTAAAAATGCAGACAACAACAAAGGCCAGGAGTTTGCTGACGAGGGGCAGGTTCAGTAGGGTGGAAGTGGGCATCACCCGGATGTTCAGCCTCAGAATGGAGGAAGAGTGCTCCAACAGTTCCAGAAGCCAGGATTCCAAAGTCAAGGGAGCGGTCCAGGTTTCGCCCGCCTTCAGCCATGAGTAGCTAGGCGGTCTTGCTTCCAACCCTTCGTGCTGCTTGGATTCCCAAAAGGCAAGCAAGCTGGAATTGTGTTCTAATGTCTACCAGATCTTCGCCACCGACTGACACAGGACGAGGCACTAAATCACGCGAGTGCCAGGCAATGCGATAAAATGAACCTTAGGAAAACAGTCTCAATCTGACCCCCCATCTCGGTGATTGTGGCGTTGTCGGGTAGGTAAAGGTAGCGGAAACGCGACGCCAAAACCAGCGAGTTGGCCGCTCTCGATCGGCCGATAAGGGAGTAGCTACGGACATGTGGGAGCACTTGGAGTTGGCTCAATAGGTGAATCCCCTGTCTGAGGTTCAATGTCTTGATGAAATCTTTCAGCTCGGCACCATAATGGAAGATAATGCTTATCATGAGATGCCCAGCGGAAAGTCGGCACGGTTCTTTCAGGCGGCACCCCATAGCTCCTTGATTTTGAAGAAGTTCAAACTGATTCACGCCGGAATATATCAAAGAGTTATTTGATATTCATGAACTATCAATCCTCGCGAATCATCTAAAGAATATGATCGACGGCGTTAGCCGAGAAATTCTAGTTTCCCAGAATATGTCCAGGTGGCGCAGGAGGGGAGCAGTGATGGAGAAATGGCTGCGCGGAAGACATAACCCTGCCGAAGCTCTTCTTGCAGTTTGAACGGGCGGCTGTAGTTTTATCTCTGGCGTACAGACCTCGGGCTAGGTAGCCCACTATCCACCGGTGCAGTTCCAGCCCACCTTCATGGTCGCATCGGTCTCCACGTATAGCAACTGGAACCTTTCCAGTGAGAGCAGAAGATGGCGCAGGCCAGGAATTCTCGGTTCACATTGTCAAAGGCGAAGTGCAGATCCGTGGGGATTACTGCCAACAGCGTCATGATCTTGTTGGCCTGAACCACATTGTAAGATGCGCACGCCAGAAAAGATTATACAATCTATAACGAGCATAATCTCTTATTATATATTTTTAATAGTTCTTTAAAAAATCGAATGAAAAGTAACTTTGGGAGATTTAACCGAAAAGATTGGATAAAATTATAAAATTGTATTTTTAAATTTATTTTCCCCCGATTTTACACACACATATATATATATATATATGTCATAATATATGCTCTTCCAGGATTAATAAAACAAACCAACAGCCAACGAGAGAGAAATGGGCAGCTAAAGCGAGACACTTTAGACAACTAACTTACGACCATTTTTTTGGACACATTCCTGAGGGGGGCGTCACCCCCTGGCGACTATCCTGGTTAGCCCCGGTTGTGTACACAGGGAAAAACAGTCCTTCACCAGATAACGACTCGCTCTCTCTCGGCTGGCTGCCTGGATTATTCCTCTAACAACTCGTCGTGTGCTTATTTCTCTCCTCACCACATTTACCACTATATTGTCACATTGAAAGTCGACAGGATAAGACCTGGCCGGGAAGCAAATCCCTCATATACCGGAGTATGAAGAAACAAGAAGCCAAGCCACGATGATCGGCCAAACCCAACTCAACTGTAACCACTCCGCTTCGAGCCCTTAACCCCTTCATCGCCAACCTTTGAACCGTGATCCCGAAGAAGTATTCACCTACGACGAAGATGGAGCTGCCACACACTTCTTCCAGCACTAGATCTACCCAAGAACGACCACCGTGCCAGAGCAGGACACCTTCCATCATCATGGACAAGACTCCGCCATATGCCTGCCGTTACTGTGATGTACAACACTGGTACGCTCAGTGTCACAGACAGAACTCTCCCGAATCTCAATGAACTTACCTGCTCTCTAAACCAGCATAACCTGTAAGTGAAATTGTTTTACCCCTTCCATTCATTCTTTAAATAAGTCATTCCTTGTAAATTGTCCCAATATTTACATAATTAGCTCCATTTATTCTCTCCATGCCTATTAACAATGATTTTATTCTCCATACTATTTATCGAGATATTTGTAACTCATTTAATTAGTTACCTTACCAGTAGAATTCAACAATCGTTATTTTAATTAAATAATTTCCATTTTTAACGTAACTCTTTAAAAAAAAAAAACTCTTAAAAAAAAATTGGAATTCTACATATTAATGCTTTACGATTTTTACTATTAACAATAGATTTTTCATAATCAAATTATTTATAAAAATATGCCTCCAGCACCTAAACTTTTGTATAGACCTCTCCTACTTGTAAGCACGGCTCACGAAAAATAATTTCTTTCCCTAATCGATTCAAAATTCACCCTGTAATTCAGGCGTCGAAGAATTCCAACCACCACGTGAGCCTTGCTTACAACCAACCCTTGGTGACTCTTATCTATCTTCCCCTTAATGCCCCTCTCATTCTTACAACTTTGTTAACTTTATACCAGCTCAGGACCTTTATAGAGAATTATTGATTAATCAATTATCGAACTTCTATATTGTCATTTCAAAATCCTAACCTTCGCCCTTCATTTATGATAATTTATTTCGTAGTTCATCTCTAGCCTATCCACCGACCCACACCATCTAGCCAATGGTGTGTTCGTCACAGGGTGCAGATTGACTAACTGCTAGATATTTATCAACCTCTTTTTGTTCGCACTTGAACAATCTGCATCGAGCGACACAGTTCGCTTCTTCTTCTCGCGCCACACGTTCGCCACACGGACCCTGTCTTCAAATCTATGTTTGTCCATTGTCCAAACCAGCACGATATAGCCTAACTCCGATATTTCCCACGGAGCTACGTTGAACATCGTCGCTGATTTTGCCCGGTCCGTCATCATTTCGCGCAGACATGGGTCTTACTTTCAACCCACCGCGAAATCATCGCCTTGCACAAGCTCCCACGACGGTTCAAACACCTCGTGTCCGAGCAGCTTGTCACTTGTAACGGACAACGCAGTCCTCGTCCCAATTTTTGGCACTGTGCGCGCATACTTTCCGCAAATTAAATATAAGTCCGTTCGACTTCCTCACCTACACACGGGACTTTTCCCCTCGGACTCGCTAAACAAGTAACTGCATAGATAAGTTAGATTGGCCCAGGGCAAGTCTCCCCTCGCTCTGTTCGCCGAGGTTCTAACATTGTATGTAGTTTTATATTTACCTCAGTCCTGAGCTCACACAATTGTCAACCTCAATCTCATTTCTCGTACTCTACACTTATAGCATAGAAAGCCCATGACAAGTTTCCCCTTGCCATGTCCGCCTGAAAAATATCTTAAAGTGTAGAGTTCCCCAGTCTTAATGATCTTCAGAATTTCACCATATGTATGTGACTCTTCTTCTCGTTGTTCACACTCCTCCATATCACTTCCCTTTAAGTACATTAGATTTTGTTGTATATAGCCTTTTATAACCTTGATATTTTCAAAGATTTCCTTAAATGTCAAACTCCCCGGTGTTGTAAAACTGCTTGTAAATAATATTTACTTGTGTACTATACAATATTTTATTTACATAAAACTATGTCACCATTACCTTAACTAATTTTAACTGTAAAATTATTTTCCCTATTCCTGGCTTCACCAGCTTTAAATATACTTAAACTATGTTCAGCCTTCTTCAACGGGGGCCATATGTCATAATATATGCTCTTCCAGGATTAATAAAACAAACCAACAGCCAACGAGAGAGAAATGGGCAGCTAAAGCGAGACACTTTAGACAACTAACTTACGACAATTTTTTTGGCCACATTCCTGAGGGGGGCGTCACCCCCTGGCGACTATCCTGGTTAGCCCCGGTTGTGTACACAGGGAAAAACAGTCGTTCACCAGATAACGACTCGCTCTCTCTCGGCTGGCTGCCTGGATTATTCCTCTAACAACTCGTCGTGTGCTTATTTCTCTCCTCACCACATTTACCACTATATTGTCACATATATATATATATATATATATGCTAATACAGAAAAATTATATATTGTGTATTACTGAGAAAATATACTAAATAGGCAAAAAGACATCTTTATCATTGATGTGGTTAATTGGTATAATTACAAGGTATAGTAAATAGCCAAAATATTTCAGTTGAGAAATGATATCTTTGCTGAAATCCGTGCAAATGATCCAGGGAGGTTTGACAAATTTATGACAAATATCTTCCCTTGAGCTAGCCTATGTGTACGACCGTAAAAATGGACATTAGTTGATAGATATTAATTTTGATTTATAGAACAATATATTGCCAAAATATCTATTTTTTCAATTCAATGTATTCCTTTTTATCATCTAATGAAAATTCCATCAATTGTGTGTGTGCGTGTGTGTATTTTAAATTATTTATAAACTTTGTCATCAAGTTTTGATTACAAATAAAATATTGTAGAACGACATTTGAAATTTATCCCGCATGTGTTTCTTTTAAACGAAAAATCGAAATTTATTTCAAGGAGAAATAACGATTATTTCCAACTTTAGGGATGAAGTATGTAAGGATGAATTAGGAAGAGTAATGATAAACGGAAAAATAAATGTTTCCAGGGATGGGAATCGAACCCACATAACCCACAAGCAGATGCCATGTCCACTAGGCTACCCTGGACATATTTCTCCGTTCGTAAATATTATATATACTTTTATTTTTCCGTTTATCATTACGCTTCACAATTCATCCTTTCATACCTCATCCCTAAGGTTAGAAATAATAGTTTTTTCTCCTTGAAATAAATTTCGATTTTTCGTTTAAAAGAACACATGCGGGATAAATTTCAAATGTCGTTCTACAATAATAAGCCGCATTATATTGTATTATAAATAAAATATTCACAATTTAAAATTATTCACCTTAAATGGCCAACGTTGTATTATATCGCCATAACAAGTAATCGTACAGTACACCCCAGTAAGCTAGATACATTCAGTAAATAACATTATTTGAGAACCACTGGAGCCATCTATTTGCTCCATTTAGCCTTATTTATTCCAGAAACTCTACGTATAGGTGGAATGTATATGTCGTTATACACATTTTTCAATTTTGGAATATATTTCCCTGTGCTATGATACGTGTTCACATTTGAATATAAATTTTACTATTGGTAATATCTTTTATTATATTTAAAAACATTTTTCGCATAACAAAATATTTAAATATCAATTATTATTGGTGGTCCAGGTTAACATCTCACCATTGATACAATTCCTAATCATATTTCACAATACTAATCATTATTTGACCTTTTATAAAACAACTAGCGGATGTACCCGGCTTTGCCCGGGTTTTACCCGAGTAAAGGTTTGTCTAACGAACATTTGTTAAAACAATTCTCTATAAACTTATATAAAAAAAGAAGATATATTTTGATAATTTGAAACTCGTAAATTTGAATCTCTCGATAAAGTGATCATTTTTTCCCGCTCCCTGTGTGCCGTGTCATCCTGAATTTTGTCTTTCCTAATTTTCTACATTACAAAATCATCGTTTTATCTAGTGAACATTTTTTCCCGGTCCCTTGAAAAATACTCGATAAGTTGAATAAAATCATGGTCGTTTATGGAAGATGGACGAAGTTCCCGGAGGTCATCTTGGGCAAGCCCCCGCGAGGCTTTTTTCTTGTATACTTGGCACAGCTGTGTCACCAACTCTGCCCCCGCGCGCCAGGACCTCTTGACCCCTCTGATTGGTCGGTGAGTACTTGGACTGTCCATCCGGCCGGCGGCCGGACGATTACATTCTCTCGACAGGGGGTGGGGCAGACCTAAGCCTATCTCCGTCGCAAGGTGGCGCTGCTTGCGAGTTAAAGCTACAAATCTGCAAATAACTCTAAGGATATTCAAGATATTCAAGAAATTATTTTTCGAAACCTTTCCGGGGATATACTTAATAATATCCCAAAAGTTGGTGACACAGCTGTGCCAAGTATACAAGAAAAAAGCCTCGCGGGGGCTTGCCCAAGATGACCTCCGGGAACTTCGTCCATCTTCCATAAACGACCATGATTTTATTCAACTTATCGAGTATTTTTCAAGGGACCGGGAAAAAATGTTCACTAGATAAAACGATGATTTTGTAATGTAGAAAATTAGGAAAGACAAAATATATATATATATAGATGTGACTTGTGACAATAAACTAGTAGTAAAAAGATTGGTAATAATTTAGTAACACTTATAAATGAAATTGTAAATTTGTGAACCTCACACAAAATCACAGTGATCAGTAGTAGAGGTGGAGCCGCCTTTTAAAGATCATTTTAAAAGCAAAGACTTGAAAGGGCATTTGGAAAAGTGGTCGTTATTCGGGCACGGTCGTTAAAGAGGAATGGAAGCTGCCTAATGTCTAGTTAAATATTTTATAGAGATACTTTATAATAAGTTAAAATTATTTTTTTAAAAACGAAAGAAAACAAAGATGAGAGATTTTAAAATCTGAGATCACGCGTTTATTTTATAAAGCTCGCGTAGTAGCATTAATTGATTTGCTTTGTTAATAGCAACAGCGTTTCTTATTTAAGAGCTGAAACTAACTTTGTTATATATTTCTTCTGTGATCGAATAACATTTTGGAAATTTACCTCAAGTTATCTTCGATATATGGATCGACGACATACCAAGAAGCCTGAAAAGGCAAGGAGACAAAAAAGCGCTAGAAGATCTGCATCTTCACATGAATATTCAAGCCCAGAAGTTGAGGTAGAAGGACGGACATCAGACTCGGGCCGCAGGTACCAAAGTCTCAGCCGCGTGGAACGAAAGCGACTGCAATGGCAACAAGAGAGATCGGAGATAAATGAAGAATGGAACCCATGGGGAAGACCTGGAGCCGGTGCATCTAACCAACCTGGGCCTAGTTATTTTCAAGACGCGCCTCCTCAAAGGAAAACCTTTCCTAAAATTCGATTCAATTCAGATAGCATTGCTCAGGGCTTTGGAGCTATTGATCCTCGAAGCTTTCAAGAAGAAGAAGCAAAAAAGATGAAAGCTCTTGAAATTCAGAGAGAAAATGCCAGAATATTGGAAGAAAAACGGCAGAAACAACGAGAAGAAAAAGAAAGAATGGCAAGAGAAGAAGCAGAACGTGACAGAAAACTCGAACTTGAGAGAGAACAGATGCGAATGGAATTTGAAATGGATCTGCGCCGCCAAAAAGAGAAAGAAGATGAAAAAGAGAAAAATAGACTTTTAGTCATCAATGCAATTAAAGAAGCCGAGGCTGAGGCAGAAGCCGATAAAAAGAAAAGAAATACTTGTGCTGAAAAGGAGAAATTCGCTAAAACTTCAGAAGTCAAGTTATCGACTAAGCCAAAACAAGTAATACGTCCAAAAAACGTTGTTCAAAAGAATAGATATGAGCATCAGCAAAACCGATATTGCAATGTAAAGAAAACGTCAGAAACCGGACGCAAAAATATTCGAATGGATTTTGAAACAAAAAGTGAAGCATCTAGGACTGAAGAAGAGGAAATAGAAGTAGAAGAAAGATCGGAATCATCCGTGAGAATCGGGGCCTTTGATAAGTTGGAAATGAAGCTACAAGCGCTTAAAGATCGTGAAGCGTATATAGAAAATATTAAGCTTGAGAGAGTTCGCTTGGAGATTGAATTGGAAAACTATAAATTGCGAATAAAAGAATTGGAACTCGAAAGACAACGACAAATGAATTCAGAATCTAGATGTTTGTCGAAAAGAGAATTCAGTAGAAATACAATGGAAGGTCATGGAATAAATTTAATGAATTACTGCAGTCCTCACAGATCGCAAATGGGACCTTTGCCACGCGGAGAAGAAATTATTTTTCGAAATGTAAATCAGGAAGTAAATATTCCAACTCAGTGTCGACATTGTCATACCCGTGAGAATTCAAATATGAATAATTTAGAGAGAAGATCTTGCTTTGGAAGCCACGATCAAAGGTCTGCAAGTACTTCAAGGATTTCAAATTCAAATGAGAATACCCGAAGAAATGATAAAGACCATACGTTTACCGCTCAAGTGTCATCAAACGAAAAGGTAGACAATTTTAATAGCTCTACTTTTAAATCAAACGTAGCTGAAAGTCAAGAACAAAAGGATTTTGAACAGCGTAGACTATTGACAACTCAAAGCATGAAGCGAAATCAATCGCCAGCTGAAAGTTGTCAAATAAATCAAGGCCGAAAAAATATCCAATTTGAATAAAGACGTCCCCTCCGAAGAACGAACTTCGACCTTCCCTCGGCAAACCACAAGTCCTCCAGTCCCAGCTCTTCAGAAGAAGATGGAAATGATGCAAGGTGATGCCGGCGATTCACAAATAGAATCACAGAGTTCTAATTATGTCGCCCATTGGGAAATAAAAACTCCTATTCTCAATGATACTGCCGGAAGACTAGCCAGCGATGCTGAAAGAATGCCCAGCGGTACCGGAAGACTAGCCAGTAATGCCGAAGATATTCCAAGGACTGCCGGAAAACTAGCCGGTGATGCCGAAAGACCGTCCAGCGGTGCTGGAAAACTAGACAGTAATGCCGGAAGACTGCCCAGGGGGCGCCGGAAGACAAGCTAGAAATCATGTGAGACTAGTCAAAGGCGCCGGAAGACTAGCCTGTAATGCCAGACTAGCCAGGGGCACCGGAAGTCTAGCCAGTAATGACGGAAGGCTATCCAGGAGTGACGGAAGATTAGAAAGGAGTGCTGGAAGACTTGCTAGAAGCCATATGTCTACCGCTCAAGTGTCAGCTAATGAAAAGATAGATACATTTGAGTACCTAACAAACGTATCAAAAGGACAAGAACAAAATGATATTGAACAACTTGGACGATTGCAAACTCAAGGTATGAAGCAAAATTCATCATTCGCTGAAGAAGTTGAAAACCGAAATATTAATTCTCCTCAACGGACTCAACAAACTATAATTGATATTAATGCAAACGCCCTCATTAAAATGGATACAGAAAAGGAGATTTCCAAATGCGATGATGATAACACTCATCAATCACCAGAAGAAAAGACGGAATTAACAAATAATTCTACCAATCTTGACTATAGAGAACCAAGTTCAGATCAAACGAGAGTTGAAAATGGCAAACCCATGCTTCAAGCTCCTCTATCATCCAGCCCTCCAGTTCCAGCCCTGCAAAAGCGTTTGGTAGAGGTTGAGAAGGAAGAAGAAGAAACAAAGGAAATGCTGGATGAATCTGAAATGTGTCACCGTGAAGGAAAAACTAAAGATATTGCTGCATCTATTGGCGATGAAAATAATCAAGATGCCATAGTTACAGATAACCAATCTCATAAATATAAAGAGAGTTGCGAAAATAACGTTCTAATCTCTAGTGAAGCTGAAAGTCCAATGCCAGATCAAGGAAATATGAAGGAAACAGACAATCATGGACATGTTTCGAATATATTATCCAATTCGAACGAAGAAGTCCCTTCCGATGAAAAGACTTGGACCTGCCCACGACAGACAGCAAGTCCTCCAGTCCCAGGCTTTATGCAAGGCAATGGCGCTGATTCACAGGATTCTCAATACGTCGCTCATTGGGAAAGAAAAGCTCCAATTTTCCACGCTCCTGCCGGAAGACTAGCTAGGGGTGCCGGAAGAGTAGTCAAAGATGCCG